TTACAATGTGAGATGAAAAAACTGCAACAAAGTAAAACGCCATAAATTTTTTCATTTTTTTTAAATTTTATTGAATGAAAGCAAAAAATGTCGGAAATAACATCAAATTTGAGAATCGGTTTAGATTTGTTCGAATTGGCCACCTTTGGCCCGAAAGTGGCTCTGCGGTATTTTGTCCCATTCTCGGCGAAGCGCTTGCTTGAGATGATCGACACTTTGGTATTTTTTAGTTCCAACCTTGCTTTCCAAAATACCCCAGGCACAATAGTCCAACGGATTGGCATCCGGAGATTTTGGTGGCCATTGTGCGGTGGAAATGAAGCGAGGAACCTCATTTCTTAACCATTCTTGGATGGCGCGTGCTGAGTGCGATGGTGCTGAGTCCTGTTGGAATGTCCAAGGTCTGCGGCCGAAATGTTTGCGTGCCCAGGGCTTCAGAACTCCCTCCAAAATATTTTCGCGATAGATTTGCGCATTTAATTTGACACCACGGTCGATGAATACGAGCGGCGAGCGACCATCGGCTGTTATGGCGGCCCACACCATCACCATGGCCGGCTTTTGAGTTGTGATGGCCAACCGAAGTTGCAAATTTTCAGCTGACCTCTCTGGCAAGTAAACACGATCATTTTGTTTGTTTACAAACTGCTGGATAACGAATGGTTTCTCATCGGAGAAAACCAAATTCGGCAGTTCACCACTTTCGGCCAAGCGAAACAACTCTTTAGCTTTTTCGAGTCTAACTTTTTTTTGCGCATCAGTAAGATCTTGCACTTTTTGGAACTTGAATGGCTTTAGTCCAAGCTCATTTTTCAATATTTGCCGAATGGCATATTGCGATATGTTCAGCTCACGAGCCATTTTTCGTCCACTGCGACGCGGATTTCGTTCAATTCGCTTTTTCACTTTTCGAACCATTTCTGCCGATGTTGCTGTTTTTTTTCGTCCACTTCCTTGACGTCGGGCTACGCTACCAGTATCATGGTAACGAGCGATGGTACGAGACACAAAACATTTATTCACTTCTAAATGCTGGAGGGCTCTAACGATAGCCACTTGTGGTTTTCCAGCCAAATGCAAAGCAATCACACTATCACGCTTGAATTCCATCACAAATAACTTTTTTTTTGAAAAATTCCCACCAAAATGCTTTTGTGCGCTTGTAAACAATATAATGAGCTGTCACTAGAATAAATCTGACAGCTGTGGGACGAGCGGTTTAGAAATGACAGCAGTCTGAAGTTGGTTGCAGTTTTTTCATCTCACCTTGTATAATCAATACAATGACTTTAAACGAGTAGAGAACTCCTAGCAATATCTATCAACCTAATTTTTACACTTCACGAGATTATTAATTGGAATTCTCTTTAATATACAGTATTTCAGAGTTGTCAATAATTGATGTGTCTTAATTATTGGTTGAACAAACGTAAAAATAAATATACACAGAATTTTATATAAGAAACGTTAAGTAAATACTATGTTATATATATAAACACGTATTATTGTTTGCAGTTTTGAACCATTTTAGATCTGAACATTGTTTTCCTCCAAAAATTTAGTATAAATCTACTATAATAGTTTAATATGTAGATGGATAATACCACAAATATAATAGTACAGCATGTCTAAGTAGATCTTATCTCAGTAAAAGTATTCATGAAATAGGAATCACATTCTGTATAAGTATGTAATATCATATATAAAGAATATAAAATCTTGTCTTTAAACATTTTTAAATTATTATAATTTTTATAAATAAATTATATAAATTATTTATATTTATTTATGTAAACAATTTCTCTTTAAATTTTATAAAGACTATAAATGATTATTCAATTATTCAATTTCATCATTTGTAAATTAGGTCCCATCAATATAATATAACTATGTCAACATTTAAGCCTATCTCCTATATCAATTTCTTAGATTTAAACTTTCAACTCCTTTTGCGATTTTTTTTTTAACCAAATCTATTTAGAAAGCCTTTTATGAAATACTCAATATACTATCGGAAACAGAATAAAATCGACGTGAAATAGTCGGGAATAAAGATAATGGACTTTTGCCCTTTGTTTGCTTTTAGAACTACGACAAATGACAAATTTAATTAAATTTGCAAAGAGAATTTCGAAAAGTAGTAAACTTCAACAACAAACATTCTTTTTTATATTATATTAATTAATCAAATTTTTGACTGACCATACAACTGTTTCGAGTATTGCCAAATACCCATCATCAGTGGTCTTGAAAATAGTTCTTGTATTTAATTATTCGTAAATAATTTTTTGAGACTACAAGTACTAATATTCGCAATACTCATGCCCTGCCAAATTTGAAGCTCAGAGTCAGCGCACCTTAACCAACTGACCCAAAGCCGTACTTGTGACTTTTATATGCGCACATTTTTCTGGAGTTTTATTAACAAATTTACTTGCTGTATTTATGTTAGAACGAAATCATAAACCAACTGTTGATTAATTGTATTAATTAATTATATTTTTATTTGTTAAATGAAATACTATTCTGTTGTTGAGGCATTATTTGTTGCATGATGTATATATTCTATATTATGTGTAGAACTGAATCTAGTGAGATCAATATTTTGTGAATATAAGTTCTAATTTAACTTCATTTTTATGATGGAAGTGACTATTATATTAAATAGAAACTCGTAAATTGTATTAAATTTTTAATTAATAATTAATTTAAATAAATCTCTTTATTATTTGATTTCCAATTTCTGTGTGTGGTACATAAAATAATTGGCTTGCTTTAATTCAAAACTAGGTTGAATGATTTATAATCCTACAAGAACACTACTACCTAAAAAATTAATTCCATTTTTTTCTAAAATATAACAAAATAATAAAATATATGACTTTGTCAATTACTAAAGCTTTTCCCATAACCAAGACGAAAATGAAATAAAATCAGCCGCAATCAACAACGCCCAATTCCTGTAGTAATCAGTAAATTCAATTAAAATTAAACAAATTTTAGAAAAGGCGTCAAAGCGAAAATTATATCCTGCTGTGATACCTTCTGCCCGACTATTTAGACTAGCATTAAGTGTTACCCATAAGTCTATTTACATACACCATGCTGTGTTCCTACCGGCCAATTATTTCTATTCACAGCAATGATTCATTCAGTGCCTGCGTCACACTCGCACTCTGCCAACTCAAATCCTTGTTTGAATAAATTTTCCTTTGATTTGACAGTTGTCGGACTGTAAATGTCACAAAAACTCATGTTTCCACTCACAAGTGGCAAATTATATGAATGAACTAAAAACGAGGGTTAAATTCTAAAGGCATTAACAATGGGTGGAGAGAGGGATGAGTGATGATTGGTGCGTATTTCGTATAAAGTGCTGCAAACGCTAATGTGCCTTAAGTTCTTACTTTAGGTATTGTGTAGAAAGACTAACAAACACATTAAAAATCAATTTCTTAAGGTCTGTTGATACAAAGTCATTATGACTTGTTAAGGAAGAGAAAAAGGTCAAATAGAAGAAGAAGCATAAGAAAACGAGTCCATATACTATATTTGATCTGTGCAGTTAAAACAATAACATTCTTAAACACATTTCCAACCATTTTTGGTGTGCTCTTCGAAGTGCTCATGCAAAATGAATAAGTTACCAGATCGTCTCACTGACAATTAAAACCACGTTAAAATCACATTTAGTCAGTAACAACCTTCCAACAATGAATGGTGAGCAACAACTGCCCAAATCGCAAAGCGCTTACGACTAACGCATTAATTCAGTGCCTTAACAAAGCGTTGAAGAAATCACTTTACCAGCGGCAACTTCAACTTCAACCGCAAACTGAACACAGAAAACGAAAATGGCTCAAAAGTGGAAAAAAAGAAAGGAAAAGAATGAAGACAACAGGATATTCATTCTGTTGGCAAAGTGTAGAACGCAGTAAATGATGACAGAGCACGCGAGAATTTAAGACTTCGACGAAATGTCTAATTTGTTGATAATTTGTGAATTCAGCATTTGACCGCCAACGATGCCCCAAAGGGTTGCGAGAAGCCTTCGCGAGAGCGCCAAGTGTGCGACACTTCCGCAAAATGCAAATGCTGCTGCCAGTGTTGCCGTATTGCACAGACCTCAAGAACCCAAATAAGGCGCATATTTATTGCAGTTGCCGCATAACCGCCAATTTAAATACAATTTGGCCAAGAGGCGCGATTTAGTTAATTACTTCAAAACGCAAACAATTAAAAGTTCTTTGTGGGTTGAAACGGAGGCTGTGGCACTAAATTGATAATGCCAAGCTTGGAGTTAAGATGACTGATGAGTCCACAGTTGGGTGGTATCAATATTTTGGTATTCTCTACTTTAATCTGCAAATGCACATGTGGCTTAAGCTCACACAAAATTAATCTCAAAATGCAATAAAGTTGGCAGCATACTTTGTTAAACTTTAATTTATGGCATCCAAAAGTTTTTGTTAATTAATAAAAATTATTGCTTTCTTAATTAAAATAAATTATATGTTATTAATTTTAAAATAAACCTTATAATTCATACATACTACTTTCCCATAAAAACTGACAAATGGCGTCTTCGATTAATAAATTTGGATTCAATCTAGATGTACTCTAGATCTTTCAAATTTCGTTGCCCAATGGAGTAACCTAAAATTTTTGTGGTGGTGTTAGTGAATAAATCAATTAAATTATAGTATGTTGATCCTTTTTTCGAGTCAGCGCAACTGGGCACTTTTACTCTTTGATAGCTGGGGGTACTACAGGGTCCCACCCATCTCATTGACTATTTTATGTATTGCCTATAAGCTTCATGATTATTCAGTGATTTATCTAAGATCTGCGGAGAGTGATTACTCTAAGATTAAATAGTGGTAGGT